ACTGTAGTTCCATAGGATGATACGGATATATTTTGTGTTCTTAAAAAATTGGGGCACAGTTTCTCAATCTCCATCCAAGTTCTTGTATGAGAAACTTTGGTAGTGAGGAGGTAGCTTTTTTGTTTTAGTTTTTGATTGTGAACATTAACATAAAACTTTTTAAATCACCGAGAACAGGAAAACTATAGATAGCACTATGAGGGTCACAGTCTCATAAATCTCATGCCATAATATTCTCACTATCTGAGGGGGGGGGGATGACTTGACCCTCTGTTTCCATGGCTAAGGTTCAGTATCTGAATAGTCCCCCAAATTCTGGAAGAGCTGCAGAAGAGGTTGCTATTAAAACTGTGAGTGGAGTGCTGCTTGACAAGAAACAGAGCCATTGGCTATGTCTTCTGCATGTTAAAAATGGACGGATTGACAGGACTTAAAACAAACCACTTGGCAAGTGAGATAATCATTCTTTGCACAAATTCACAACTTAATTTGCTAGGAGCCAACTGCAAGTAAGGTTGTTGTTGTATGTGCCTTCAAGTCGTTTCCAACTTTTCGCAACCCTAAGACGACCTTATCATGGGGTTGTCTTGACAAAATTTGTTCAGTGGAATTTTGCCATTGCCTTCCCCTAAGGTTAAGAGAATGTGACTTGCCCAAGTCACCCAATGGGTTTCATGGCCAAGCTGGGAATCAAACCCTGGTCTCCAGAGTTATAGTCCAATGCTCAAACCACTGCACCATACTGACTCTCTAAGTTAGAAAGTAAGGCAGCCTTTTTGCTTTTCTCTCTCTCTTGGTTTCATGCACTGCCTAGCTCAAGAATGGAATTGTGTTGATGTAAATGGACCTTTTCTGGAAAAATGACAGGGATGTCTCTGAGGGCTTCTTCTACTTATTCCCACCTCTTCCTCCACATGTGACAACCTCTTCCTGTCCTGCTGCTATGGCTTCAAATGGAGGAACCTTCTAGATGCCCTTATGGTTGCTGTGTGAGATTTTATTTGTCTAAATCCCCCAACTGGTCACCACCACTCTTGGATAACTACTGACACACAGACATTATGTGTCTGAACTCAAGCATTCTCGCAGGCACAAGTGTATAATACAAAAATGATTTATGAAACAACATAAAGTTAACATCTTATTTAAAACATCCTAAACCTTACTGATGCTATCAACTAACTCACTCATATTCCTCACTTCAACTCTTTCTTCCTGTCCTTCTGTTTGCCTTAGGGTTGCCATAAGTCGACAGGTGAGTTGAAGGTACACAACAAAAACAATTTGTCACCCATGCCAGCCTTTTAAAAATCCCTTCAAACACTCAGTCTCTCGCCAGTCATCCCCAATGTCCCATCCTCTTACCCCTCCGAATAGATCACATACCTTATTTCATTTATTAAAGATCACATACTTTGTGTATTTGCCTTCAAGTTGTCTGTTGACTTATGATGACCCTCATAAATTTCATAGATACTTTGCCTTAATTTCTCTAATAAACAGCATTTTAAACAAAGGTCCATAACATCACAAGGACCATGTAAGTTGTAATTCAAACCATTGATGGTTTGATTTCTTTATATAGAATTTCATGTGTCTTCTCTTCTAGCATCTATATACCATTCAGAAAGGTTGACAGCCATTAAAACCACAGTACAGTGTGAAACTACATATTTAGTTAAACACACACAAATACAAGTACAATGCCCATTCCTAATGCTCCTTGAAAATTGCACCCTGTATTGTTTGAAATGGAAGGTTGTCAAAGCTTTTCTCAGTTTGGATGTCCTCAGTTAAAGAAGACATAGCCTTGAATCCCATTTTGAGAAGAAAGAAGGATATAAATTCACTCAATCGGTAAAAAATCCCCTTGCTTGTAAATGCTGCTACAGCTCCTGTGGCTGAGGAAAATAGTTTCAATAGCGGTATATCCAGAGTTTAACTTATAATTTTCAGCCATATTACTAACACTGCTATTGCCTCCAGAAATTCTTTTGGCCTGGAGTATTAAAAATCTGAGGATAGGAGGAAGAGTCGCTGTGTCTTACCAGCTGCAAAATAGAGGCCCTGCTATCTCTTATCTCTTCCATGACCTGTTGACATAATCTGGACTGCACTGTGTGGAGAAATATGCCCCTCGTTCCTATTTGTGTTCCTCACATCTGTTCTAAAGGGAGCTCTATTCTTGATCTGTCAGATTCATGATGAGACTGCCTCAACCAACAACCTTTAGAACTCTTTGGCTCCTCCTATCTCTGGGTGAATTTTCTCAGTTGCTGCTGGTAGTTTTCCCACATCTATATCTAAAGTCCACTCTTGTTCCTCTGCGTATTTGTTAAGGATTAGGTAAGAAGACTTTGGATCTTTACATGGCTTCCTAACACAAGAAGTCCTATAAAGGACGGGCAGAACAAAGGAAAGTAAAATGTGGATGGGGGGGGGCAGTTCCTAGTTGAATAAAGTGCATGTGTACACCTGCAACATGCATGCATCAACATTATGAGGAAGAAGAGAATCTGAACAGATCACATTTTCACAAATGCTTCATTACTGAGCCAGCCTAAATCAAGTCTGGAAAAAGTTGGGCTGTCACTAATTTTTAGGCGGTTAACCTTTTCTAACATCCTGATTTTCCATCAAGGACCTGATACAATCTTCGTTCCAACCAATACTGATCGGCTTCAGATATGAAATCATCACACTTTTGATACATCCCTTAAAAAGTGGAGCCAGTAATTTGATTTGGCTCTCATTAAGGTAGGCCATTTATGGATAGCAATACCTGCTGAAGATTGAGCTCAGTGGCATGCAGGAGGGCTCAGACATAATGCTCAACTGTGCTTAAGCATCATGCACATGAACAGAAAAGAGCCAAAGTAAAGCCTTAGGCTAAAGGATTACTGCTCCCTTTTCATCCTCTTTTACAGGTGGAGGAATTAATCAGCATTCAGTATCACAATGTTTGAGCCCTGATTTCTTGTTACATGCAAATCAGAGGAGAAGATAGGCTTAATGTTGAACATTACAAAACCAAAAATAATGACCATAGACGATCTACAAGTTGCTTTCATTCTAGACGATGAGGAAATCAAAATAGTCAAAAGATTTCCCATACCTTGGATCAACCATTGACCAGAACAGAGACTACAGTCAAGAAATCAGAAGACTAGGAATGGGAAGAGCAGCCATGAAGGAACTAGACAAGTTCCTAAAGTGCAAAGATACAATGCTGAACACTAAGGTTAGGGTTGTTCAAGCCATAATATTCCCCATCATCATGTATGGATGGGAGAGCTTACAGTGAAAAAGGTGGACAGAAAGAAAATCAACTCATTTGAGATGTGGTGCTGGAGAAGAGTGCTGTAGATGCCATGGACAGCAAAGAAGACAAATAAGTGGGTCCCTGAACAGATGAAGCCTGGACTCTCCCTGGAAGCCAAGATGACAAAGCTGAGGCTGTTGTATTTTGGCCACATACTGAGAAAGCATCACTCATTTGAAAAGACAATAATGCCGGGAAAGGTAGAGCACAGTAGAAAAAAAGGAAGACCGCATGTCAGATGGCTGGATTCTATCAGGGATATCACAGCCTGAGCCTGCAGGACAGACATAGGGGTTCATGGAAATGTCTCATTCACAGGTTCTCCATATGTCAAAGTCAACTTGAAAGTCATTAACAGCATCAAGTTTAATTCTGCTTTGTTGCTAAACAAGCCAGTGATAATTCAACTCTCTTGTTTATGAAGCAGAGTTTATTTTAAACCATGATTTTAAAATCAGAGATCAAATAACAAACCAGGAATCAAGCAAAGTGAATATGAATGCTGGTTTATTCCTTCCCCCAACTGTCTGGGAAAAGGAGAAGGGAGCCCTTGAGCCTGGTATTTCATGTGTTCTGTTCATGCATGTAGTGCTTCCGTGTGGTTTAGCATTGCATATGAATTTAGCCCAGTATCTTACATGGTTTCCTTATCCACTAAATATTTTTTGCTTGAGTGTCCATGTTTCTTGCTATGCTTCAAACTCAACTGGGAATCCACTTGCCTAATCTGCAACTTACAGATGTCACCTTGAAGAGATTTGTCTACACATCATCTTCATATTTTAAAAAAATGTTGGCCTAGTTCTCTGCATCTGAAGTCCTTGCAAGAATTAATGAGACCTGATGTTCTGCAAGAAAGACCAAAACATACAGCCTCTCTAGACAGCACTGAAACTAGGCTGCATGAGGTTGCCAGCTGGCCAAGAGAAATACATCTTCTTATCAGCTAACATCCCCAAACACATCATAATAGCTTTGCTCTAAACCACACTTACTAGGGAGGAAGTGTCCTAAAGGTACCAGATCCTGCCTAATTTTGGAAACAGAGTAGAATCAGCCTTGGTTAGTACTTGGATGGGGAACACAAGAAATACCAGGTGCTATAGGCGGGTTTTGAAATGAAGGAATGGGCCAAACCACCTCTGAGGATCCTTTGCCTAAGTAAACCCTATAAAACTCATGGGTCACCATAAGTTTACAAGTGACTTAAAGACATATAACTTCACTGAGTACAGTAGAACTTTTGAGGTTTTGTTTTTGTTTTAATTTTAATATATACAAAATATTGCTCAAAATACATAAAATGAATACTACAAAAACAATAACAGAAAACATCCTCCTCTAACAATACCTAGACCAGTCACAGTATTCAAGAATTAATAAGTAAATTCTTCCATAAGTTACTGTGTGAAGCAGGTGGATAGTAGTGACCACTATTGTAGTAAAAGTAATTAATGAGAGCCAGCATGGTGTAGTGGTTTCATTGTTGGACTGCAACTCTGGAGACCAGGGATCACTTCCCAGCTCAGCCATGAATCCCTGTGGGTGATCTTGGGCAAGTTACATCCTCTTAGACTCAGGGGGAGGCAATGGCAGACTTCCTCTGAACAAATTGTGCCAAGAAAACCCCATGATAGAACCTAGGGATGACATAAGTCGGAAATGACTTTAAGGCACCCAACACACACAGTTAATAAATGTGGCTCAACTTACGTAGAACAGATTCTGTGGTTGGTCTTTGCTTTTCCTGTACATGGTCAGCCTTTCCATATGGGTCAGGGACCAGAGTCTGTTTTTCCAACCATGAAGGGACAAGTTGCTTGCATCTTTCCAGTGACATGTTATTTCTAATCTTGTTGTGAAACAAAAAAAAATCCAATTAGCTTTTTATGCTGATAAGTTCATTGGGTCCCAAAAATAGCTCTGAGACCTGTTGCTGGAGGGAAAAGTAGAGTTGTTAGTAAAGATGTGGGGATTATTTTGAAGTTAGCAAAATGCAACATTACACAAACTTAAAAAAAATGATGCTGACATTTTAGTGCTTTTCCTCCTCCCACCTTTTTCTTTGTTTGGGCTCAAAGTGGCTTACAACAGTTAGACATACTGTATGTACTCGACTGTAGGTGAACTTCATATATAAGTCAAGGGCAGGCTTGATGGCCAAAATTAATGGATTTTGATATGACCCATAGATAAGCTGAAGATAAAACCTAGGGGCATGTTACAAAGGATTTAAATGGCGAAGCAAAGAAAAACAATGCCAAGCAACTTACAAAATTCCTGTAGGCATAGCTTTTTGTGCTCACCCTAAAGGTTGGATGGAAGAGGGAGTAGAATGAGGTTAGTGCCTCCAGGACAAGTTACACTCTTGCCTTTCACCAAGGGATGGTTCCTTTTTAAATAAGAGTTAAAGTACAGTATTTAC